CCGTCTCCGGCGGGGTGGGGGTCGGAGCGTGTAGGGGACCTTGGCTCTGCCGCTGTTTAGCCCGATGTCCTAGCGCAGTTCCGCGCTGTTCCCGGCCTCAGTCTACCCATCTGTAAACGGGGGCGGTGGGGCGAGGTGGGGATCTTTACGACCCGGCTCTGCGGGTTTGGATGTCTGCGCCCGTAGGAAGCGCGCTGGAGGCGGGGCGGGGAAGGGCGGGGAAGGGCGAGGGCGGGAGGGTGCGGGGGGCGGAGAGCGGCAGAGGCGCCGCCGCGGGGTCAGAGTCCGCAGCGAGGCCCAGCGGCCGCAGCGCCTGGCTCGGGGCGGGTGAGGAGGCGGCGCCTCCGGGGCGGGGCTACGGGGCGGCCTGGCGGGAGGCCCGGCGTGCGTCAGCGCCGTGAGCCCCGGAGTTTTCCACTGACGAGGAGGGCGGAGCAGCGGGCGGGGCCGGGCGCAGCCAGTCTCCCGCTGCCGCCGCCGCCGCCGGACGCGCAGAGCGAGGGGCCGCTTGACCGACGGCTCCCCGGCCGAGCGCACACACAGTCGCGGCGCGGGGCCGTCCCCAGCTGGGACGCGGATCGCGTCGGTGTCCTTGGCGAGCGCCCGGATCGCAGGTGAGCGCCGAGGGGCTCGGAGCCCAGCTGGACGGGACTTTGGGGAGGGATTGCCCGGCGCGAGCGGCACCGCTGCTCCAGCCCCTGCCGTTCGCTCCCCTGCACCCTGAGCGGGCGTCGGGGCCGGGGCTGTCCAGTTCGGCCGCAGACTGCCCGCCGCGGCCGGAGTCCGGGGCCGGGAGACAGGGAGGCGGGAGTCGCAGGTTTTTCGCTCCCCTCCCCCGCCTTGCCGCGGTTACCCTAAGAAGTCACGGCGCCCCGAGTTCAGTGCGGGTGGCGGCCGAGCTAGGGGTGCGCGCGGGTGGCTAGGTGACGGGGTGCGCGCGTCCGCGGCCGAGTTTCCTTTTGACCCAGTTGCCTAAGAACTTTTCAGAAGTTCCTCGCGTGGCCAGAGCAGGTGACATGTGTCGCCTTCCTTCTCGGGCACCCTCCCCCCCGGGGGGGCTGCCCGGGCCGTGGCGTGTGCCGGCCGGCGGGGGTCAGGGAGGGAGTGGAGGCATGAGCGAGGAGTGTGGCTCGGTGAGTCACGAACCCCGGGAGGGAGGGAGGGCGGGAGGGGAGGGATTGTGTCGTACGCTCACCTGTTTGTCAGTCACCCTCACACGCAGAGGCCACCGCTGTGAGTCACGGGCGCTGCTACACCGGCCACCCGCGGGCACACGTAGGCTCTCTCCCACGCACTCTACTCCCTTCCCCAGCATGTACTCCTCCCATTCCTCAGTTTCCCCTCCCGGGGGGCCCTTTCACAGGCATGCACTGTTGAGATGCCCACATCACAGCAACAGTCACACACTTAGTCACTCCCGCTCCCCGGCACAATCACACAGCTATAGCCCACACTTCTGACACTAGAGGGTCCCTCCCCGGCTCCCCATGCCCACCCAACACCTCCACTCTGAGTCTCACAGTCCTTTGGAGAGTAACTCATCACCTCACCCGCCCCCAAATCCTGACAGCCCTGCCCTCTTCTTTCTCCAATTGCCTTGGTCTCCAAGTCCACTGTCTTTCTCCTGTGCCCTTGACCTGTCAGCTCACCTGGCCCTGGCAGCACCTCCAACGGCCACACCCCCTCCAGTCCCTGTGCTGAGCCATCTTTTGAAAATGCAAATCTGGTATTGTCACTCCCTGCTTAAACTTTTCTGTGGCATCGTATGCCCTCAGGCTAAAGCCTATCCTGGAGCCCAGGCTCTGCCCCGTCTCTGGCCGCCCCTCCCCCGCTGGCCACTCTGGCTCTTCCTCCTCAAGTCCTTCCCCCCGCTGAGCCCCCATTTGGAACCCTCCCAACATTGCTCTCTCTGAGAGACCTGCCTTCACCCCCAGCTGCACCCCTCCTTGCCCATCCCTCCAAGCCTCCATCCCAGCACCCTATGCTGGTTGTTCTCCCCACTCAACTCACAGCTTCAAGAGGGCAGGCAGCATCTGTGTAGGTCTTGCGTCCTGTACGCGGAGTGCCTGCCACGGTGCTTGGCACGTGTGGGAGCTCAATAAATATTTGTTGAATGAATGAATGAGACAGCAAAGGAAGCCCTGCTTAGGTAGGTGGAAGCAGTCATTGTCAGGTGCAATTTCCCTTCTGCAGGAGCAAGTACCTCATGTAGCCAGCAAACATTTGGCACCTACCCAGTGCCAGGTGCTGGAGGCCAAGGCTGAGGAACTGTCCCCTCCCCTGAGATCACTTTCTGAGGGATCGGTGGGGGAGGGGTACCAAGGCTTCCTGTCTGCCTTCTCTGGGCTGCCCAGGCTGGTTTTTCTGTGGGGGCCAGAGGTGCTTAGAGGTGCCCTCCCTTTCTCCCAGGAAGTAGTTCCTGAGGGCCTGGAGTCATGTGACCCCAGGTGTTTTGAGGGGGACTGACCAAGGCCTGGGTCTCTGAGGTTAAAGGACACATTCTTCAGATTCCTGGAGGGGGATGGAGGCAGCTAAAGGTGACCCCTCCCTAAGACCAGCTCCTGCTGCGGGCTGGGGCTTTGGTGGGACTGCTGAGGTGGGCACAAGAGTTGGTGTGACTTTTCAGAGGCCTAGAGATGCCCCCTCCTCCCCTAAATAGCCCTTGGTTGCTTGGAAGATGGTGGAGGGGGGCGAGGTGACCTTCCCTGGATTCACATAGTGAGGCCTGAGTGTGTATGTTGCTGTGGCCTGGAGACTGAGGGGCGGGTCCCCCCTCCCCCCATGCCTGTGTGTGGTGGCAGGAGGGCCTCCTGATTCTCAGGGCTCAGTCAGATCCGGAAGAAGCCTGGTTCTCTTTGATTCAGGGCCTGTCTCTGGGGCTCCTCGGGGGTGTGGTATTTCTGTCTGAGCCAGCTCCTGGGAATTGCCTTTCCTTCCTCCAGGACCCCAGGAGGGGGCTGTGCTCACCCTGGGAACAGTGCCATGGTCAGGATCTTGATTCCTGGGTAGCTGCTGAGGGCCCCTCCCCCACCCTCTGACTCACTGTCTGACACTTTTCTTGGACTCTTTCACTATCTTTCATTCCTTTTTCTGACTTGGCCTCTCCTTGTCTCTGGCTCAGTCTTTTTGTCTCATCTCCAGCCTCTGCCTCTCTCTCAGCCTCCGGATTCCCAGGTGGGACAGAGGGAACCTGAGATCCAGGGGCGCATTCCCCCCTTCTGCCTCCCTGAAGGAGTATCCAGGAGGAGATAATTTATCATTTCATTCCAGGTCTGCAGATCCTGCAAGGGGTTCTTCACTAGAACCCGCAGCTTGGCCGTAGCCTCCCTGTGCCTCTGCTTCCCTGTCTGCAGCCTTAGTGGTCTAAAGCCCCTCACCTTAACTTCTCCTGTGGACATCCTGAGGCAGGGCCATGGTGTCTGGTTTGAGCCTGTGTCCTTGGCTTCTCCCTCCATCTGTTTGCTCTTGGGGAACAGGGAGTCTCTTGAGATGCCTACGTGGGCACCTGTCTGCAGCCCGAGCTTCCCTCTCCTGCCCTCAGAGCCACCCCTTTTGAACACCATTCTTGCTTAAACCCTCTGGCACAGGCTGGGGGATGGGCATATGACCCCCTTCTTAAATTAACTGTGACAAGAGTAGGAGGAGGTCACACTGTCTTCACCCCACACATGAGGTTGCCCCCAGTGATCTCATGTGCATAAAGATTGTTTCTGTGCTTATACCTGATATGTGGGGCCAGCCTGCCTACCTCTGACATTGTCAGATTCCCTTTCTATACCGGACTCTGTCCTAGGCCTGGGCACAGTGATGGCCAGGCAGAGACGGCCTCAGTCTGCTGTGAGGCAGATGAGCAATGAGGCCGTTGCAGTATGGTCAGATAAGGCCTGTGATGGGGAAATTCCAAGGCCTATGGGAGCTGTCTTAGTTCAGGCTACTCTAACAAAAAAAACATTGACTGGGTAGCTTAAACAAAAGAAATTTACTTTTCATACTTCTGGAGGTTGGGAAGTCCAAGATCAAGGTGCCACCCAGCCTGGTAAGGGCCCTCTTGGTTTCTAGGTGGACACCTTCTTGCTGTGTCCTCACATGGTGGAGAGAGAGATCATCTCTCTTGTATCTCTTTGTATGGTACTAATCTCATTCACGACCTCATTATTAATACCTCCCAAAGGCCCCACTCCCAAATACCATCACATTGGAAATTCTTCCTCAACGTATGAATTTTGGTAGGATACAAATACTCAGTCCACAGCAGGAGCCAGAGAGGCAGGGGGAAGGAGTGGGGGATTCAGAAGGCCCCTTTGGAGATGACGTCTAAAAGGGAATGAAGCTGGGGTTCTATCTTGTGCAAAGGTCAGGAGGTGAGCAGGGACACGGCCACTGCGGGAACTGCAAGTTCAGCTGGAGTATAGAGAGAGGGTTAGGGAGAGTCCTGCATGATGAGGCTAGAGGGGAAGCCAGGGGCAGGCTTCCCCGAGGGGAGCTACAGAGCGCTTCTAAGCATGCAATGGTGGGTAAATGTGTGGTTTAAGGAGATCATTCTGGCTGCAGGGTAAAGAATGGCTGGGGGAGAAGGCAGGAGCAGAGGCAGGGGGTGTGGGTAGCAGTAGTGGGGACAAAGACATGATAAGGGCAATAAACTTTTTAAATTGATTGTGACCCACATAAAATGCATAGAGTACACAAACCTTATGTGTAGAACTAGATGAATTTTTTATAGTTTTTGACACTCATGTAAGCAGGTCAACATAGAACATATCCAGAACCCCCTAGAAAATTCTCTCATGACTCTCGGTATATGCCCCTCCCCCTGGAACCACTATTCTGACTTGTAGCGTCACCGATTGGTTTTGCCTATTCTTGAGCTTCACTCGCATGCATTTTGTCTGGCTTCTTTCACTTAACATGATGTCTGTGAGATTCATCTGTGTTGTGTGTAGCCAGGAGCTCACTCTTTTCTTTTTTACAGTGTAGAATAACACATTCACTGAGCACTTATCACTGGTCTAAGAACTTGACATGTATTGATTCCTGTAAACCTCCCAACTCCGTGAGGTTTTAAGACTCCAATCTTTAATTGGAGACAGAGGTTAGGGAGCTTGCCCAGGATTACCCAGCCAGCTGATGGCCTAGCCAGGGTTCAAGTGCAGGCAGTCGGGTTCTGGAACTCAAGTTCATAACACCACACCAGGCAGCCTGCGTGATGCCTACCGAGCCTGTGCCTGGCCTCGTGTGGATTAAAGGGATTTATGTGAACTTCCAGGCTTGCGTGCCTGGGTGTAGATGGAGTGGGGGGACGGGAGGGAAGCAGTTGAGGATGATGCAGGTTTCTGGCTTGAGTAACTGGGTGGGTGGCAGTGCTGTTACTAAGATAGGGAACACAGGAAGAGGAACAGATGGCACAGAGTGGGGGGTGGGGAACAGACAAGGGGTTCAGTTTGGGGCCTGTGGAATTGTATGTTTCTAAGGGATGGCCAGGCAGAGATATTAAGGGGGCCATTGGCCCTGGGGGTCTCAGGTTTGGGAGTGTGATCAAGGAGGCATTCGGGACGCTGTAGACAAAATCTGGAATTTGGGAAAGGATGGGGTCTCCCTGCAGGACTGTAATAGGGACAGGGTGTGTGGGTGTTCGTGTGTGTTTCTGTGTGCATATGTGTGCATGCCTGCCTCTGGGTCATGAGTCCCCCATCTCCTGGGAGGGCCTGCAGGTCAGCTGGGAGCGGGGTTGTTTTTGTTTGTGGTTTGACCCTGGGAGCGGGGTGCCAAGCCTGAGAAACTACCCGCTGAGAAGCCCCCGGAAACATCTGTGAGTCCTCTTCCCCCAGGCCCAGGGTGGGGGATTGGCCAGGGAGGGAGATTTTCTTGTTTCTCTCATGCCTGCCTAGGGGAGGCTGTCCCTGGGATGAATTTTATCCAGTTAGGAGGTTGACAGCACACCCTCCAGGATTCAGGGACATAATGAGAGGCTTGGGAGAAGGGGAAGGGGTGTTAAGAAGGGACACCTGAGAAGAGGAGCCCAAGACAGCCTTCTGGTTGGTTTTTCCTGTTCTCATTTCCTGTGATGGCAGTGGGGGAGGGTTCCCCAGCACTGGGGCCTCTGCTTCGTTTCCCTTCCTCCTGGTGACCTCCTGGGGGCCAGCCCTGAGTGCAGCAGGACGGAGCAACAGAGACAAGGTAGCCGTACTCAGCCCTTAGGATTGGGTCCTCTGGGGGTTCCCAGGCCTAGGAAGGGGCTATTATTAGCTGAAGCATTCAGGGGCAGGAATCCAAGCCCCCTCCCCTCGGCCAGCCTGGCTGTGGGAGTCTCTGGTTACACTCAGCTGAGGACTGATACCCTCAAAGGGGAGACACCCTGGTGTGTCCTGGGGTGCTCCACATGGCAAAGCCATAGACAGGAGAGACTGAACATTAAGATCCACTGAGCGGCTCTGGTCACACAGTCAGCCTCAGGGCAGGGACTTCTCTCCAGCAGGGCGGGGGTTTCTGAGGGAAAGTCTGAGAGGCTCCATCACAGGGAGGGGAGGGGCTCAGCAAAGTACTCCGTCTGGGAATGGGGACCAGCGTCACAGCCAGCATGTTCTCCAGAGTGCCTGGTCAGTCTGGCCCTAGAGCAAGGGCTTGCGGCCTCGTCTGTGTGCAGGGTGGCGAGTCTGTGTGGGTGTGCTGGAGGAGGAGGAGGAGGAAGCAGAGCCACCATACCAAGGCTGTGCAGGCAGTCGGGTGTGCAGACGGGGACACACACACACACACACACACACACAAAGGCACACAGATGCGAGAGCCGTGTGAATCACCCAGCCGGTGAGTCAGCCCCCAGGATTCCTGTCGGGGAATGAGTGAAGCTGGGCTGAGGTCTGTCAGTCCATCTGTTGGTCTGTCTGCCTCCTGCCCTTGCTGGTGTGGATGCACGTGTGTAGGTGGGTTGCAGAAGGTGGTGGGGAAGGTGCTTGGTGGTTTCCTGGGACGGCTTTGGGCGGAGGTCGTGGGAGTTTGAAAGCACTAGGCTATGGATTTGCACATTATTAGTTTGGAGGGAGGGAGGCGCTGTGTCTTGTGCAGAGAAGATTCCTGGAGACTATGTCCCCTGCACACAAGAGCACCTCAGGCAGGGCTGGAGGGCTGAGCGAGAGTATGGGACGCCTCTGAGGGTAGGTGGGAGGGATGGAGTCCTGGCTGGTGGCCCACCCGCTGCTGTCAGCCTGCCACTTACAGTCTTCACATTCCCATTGCAGGCTGTCTGTCCCCAGACCCTGGAGCACCCCTGCACCACCATGACTGGGCTGCTGAAGAGGAAATTTGACCAGCTGGATGAGGACGACTCTTCGTTCTGCTCTTCCTCTTCCTCCTCCACCTGCCACTCTCGCTCCTGCTCCCGGAGCTCTTCCGTCTCCCCTGCCTGGGACTCGGAGGAGGAGGGCCTCAGGGATCGGACCCCCCTGCCTGATCGTGACTTCTGTGGCCCCCGTAGTTTCACCCGTGAGTCCTCCCTCCCCTGGGCACCCCACCACACTCCTTCCTTCCTGAAAAATGAGATTCAGAGGCCCCCGACAACCCTTTCGGCCTCTGGAGGTTGTCTCCGTGGCTGTATCTCCCTTACTTGGCTCCCCACTGTGTCCACTTCCCACGACAGTGGCCATTCAGTGCCCACTACCAAGAGGCACCTGAGCCCAGATGGACTCACCTTTGACCTTGGGAGTAATGATGTCCGGGATGCAGCTCCTCAGAGTGGCCTTGGGGCCTTCCTGCTCCAGCCCCTCCCTTCTGTTCCAGTTTCGTTTCTCCAGCACGCGCCCTGCCCTCCTGCAAACAGAACTGCTGGAGTTCCACACCCGCACTGCTCTGCCACAGGGCCTGTCAAGCCGGTCCCTCTCTTGTCAAAATGCTGTTTGGCTTTGCCTGAACATACTAAAAAGGGTTTTTTCCCCCTCATTTTTCATGCTTGTATAATCCTGATTGCAAACTGACAACGATGGCCCTAGAGCAGTGTTTTTCAACCTTATTTTTCATTATCACTCCCCTCAACCCCAAGGACATTTTCCCTCTGATCACCGCCCCCCATGAAATTTTAATACCACAGACGTGCTCTTAGACCTTAAAAATTATTTTGTAAAATGCCATAAACAAAAATGTAAGACTAAAACATCTCCTTAGATAGGCTAGAAAGATAATTATTGTTGCTAATATCATATATAAAGAACACCTACAAATCAATTTTTAAAACTATAGAAAATCGTACAGGGGGCCTATAAATGGCTGGTAAGGATGGGAAAGATGTTTAATTTTACAAATACTGTCATTTGGCCTGGTAAATACAATAAGCCATTGTTGACACGGGTGTGGTGTTCAGTTTTAGTAGCTCCAGTCTCAGCCAGGCTGGCTCCTAATTTCAGATCCATTTCTTTATGTGAGGTGGGCGGAGCGGGGAGGGATGGGGAGAGATGGTCGGGCAGGATCTTCCTGGAGGTTATGCTGTGCCTCGCAGAGAACTAACCCCCAGCCCGTCCCTGCCTGCTTTCCAGCCCTGTCCATCTTGAAGCGGGCTCCCCGGGAGCGCCCAGGCCGTGTAGCCTTTGATGGCATCACCGTCTTCTACTTCCCCCGGTGCCAGGGCTTCACCAGTGTGCCCAGCCGTGGTGGCTGTACTCTGGGCATGGCCCCTCGCCACAGCGCTTGTCGCCACTTCTCCTTGGCCGAGTTTACGCAGGAGCAAGCCCGGGCACGGCGCGAGAAGCTCCGCCAGCGCTTGAAGGAGGAGAAGCTGGAGATGCTGCGATGGAAGGTAGGGAGTCGCTTCTCCATGAGCCACAGCCTCGGGTAGCTCCTGGAGTCCTAACCATGAGGGGCAGGCGCACCAGGGTTGGGCGCTGACTTCTCATTACGCATATGGGGAATGGGCCCATGGGCCCATGATTGGCTCAGTTGGAGTCTGCTGCCTACATTCTCTGCAGACAGGGAAGCATGTGAGGGTGCCTGTCTAGTTGTCCCAGGGGCTGGGGGCATGGTACCTGAATCTGTCTGACCTTGTTGGGGAGGGGACGTGGAGTTGACGTGACATTGGCAGTGTGTATCTGGCTGGCTGGGGAGGAAGAATGTCCATGATCTGGGAAAGGGCATGAACAGGACATCACTCTGCAAATTTCCTGAGGGCAGTGCTGTTCACTGTCCTGTTCACTCTCATATCCACAGTGCCCAGGACAGTGTAAGCACTTGGGTAGCGTTTGTTGTGTGACTGGGGCTAAGTCTGTTCCCTGTCTGTGCTTCTCACATCCCTCTCTCCCATGGATGCAGCTTTCGGCCGCTGGGGTTGCCAAGGCGGAGGCAGGCCTGCCACTTGCGGTGGATGCCATTGATGACGCCTCCGTGGAAGAGGACTTGGCAGTGGCCGTGGCAGGTGGCCGGTTGGAGGAAGTCAACTTCCTACAGCCCTACCCAGCCCGGCGACGACGGGCTCTACTGCGGGCTGCGGGCATTCGAAGGATCGATCGGGAGGAGAAGCGGGAGCTGCAGGCACTGCGCCAGTCCCGGGAGGATTGTGGCTGTCACTGCGATAGGGTCTGTGACCCTGAGACCTGCAGCTGCAGCTTGGCGGGCATCAAGTGCCAGGTGCGATGGTTGGACCCAGCTGGGGTGGGGAGCTGAACCTGGGGGCTTCTTTGTGCTCCATGAAATCCTCACTTGTGCCTCTACTTTCTCTGCAGATGGACCACACAGCATTCCCCTGTGGCTGCTGCAAGGAGGGCTGTGAGAATCCCAAGGGCCGTGTGGAATTTAATCAGGCACGAGTTCAGACCCATTTCATCCATACAGTCACCCGCCTGCAGCTGGAGCAGGGGGCCGAGAGCCTTGCGGACCTGGAGAGTCCCACCCAGGGCAACCCACCAAGCCCTGGGGAGCAGGCCCTGGTCCCCACTTTCCCACTGGCCAAGCCCCCCGTGAGCAGTGAGCTGGGAGACAACAGCTGCAGCAGCGACATGACCGATTCCTCCACAGCATCTTCCTCAGCATCGGGCACTAGCGAGGCCCCCGACTGCCCCGCTCACCCAGGCCTGCCTGGTCCTGGTTTCCAGCCTGGTGTGGATGATGACAGCCTGGCGCGGATCCTGAGTTTCAGTGACTCTGACCTTGGTGGGGAAGAGGAGGAGAAGGAGGAAGGGGGTATGGGGAACCTGGACAACTTCAGCTGCTTCCACCCAGCTGACATCTTTGGTACTGGTGACCCTGGTGGCCTGGCCAGCTGGACCCATAGCTATTCTGGCTCTAGCCTCACATCAGGGATCCTGGATGAAAATGCCAACCTGGATGCCAGCTGCTTCCTAAACGGTGGCCTTGAAGGGTCAAGAGAAGGCAGCCTCCCTGGCACCTCAGTGCCGCTCAGTGTGGACGCCGGCCAGAGCAGCTCGGTGGATCTCAGCTTGTCTTCCTGTGACTCCTTTGAGTTGCTCCAGGCTCTGCCAGATTATAGTCTGGGGCCTCACTACACTTCCCAGAAGGTGTCTGACAGCCTGGACAACCTTGAGTCACCCCACTTCCCTTTGCCTGGCCTCTCTCCACCTGGGGACGTCAGCACTTGCTTCCTGGAGACCCTCATGGGCTTGTCCGAGCCAGCTGCTGAAGCCCTGGCTCCCTTCATCGACAGCCAGTTTGAGGACCCTGCCCCAGCATCTCTCATGGAGCCTATGCTGGTGTGAGGACTAGAATGCCTTTTCCCAGCCCCAAGAGCCCTGTTGCTGCTTTTTTGTAATTTTAGGGCTCCCCAAGGTCTGTATGTAACAGTCTCCCATTGGCTGGCTTACCCATGGGTGCCATGTGCACACTCCAGGTTTTCATGTAACACTCTTGATTTATTTATTTATTTTTTTTAACTTTTCTGTGCTAAAGAGAGGGTGGGGAGGGGGCTTCCCTTTCAGCTGCCCAGCGCCCCCCCATGCCCTTCATTGATCTTCCACCTCCACAACACGTGCCAGAAGAGGAGAAAACGTGGCTCCCCTGGAGCTTGGCAGACCACTTTTTGGTCACTGTATGATGTTCCTTAGCCAGAGGTGGTGAGACAGGGCTGAAATCAAGTGGCTTCTCCTGCCACCTTGAGCCCTAGACCCATGGGTGGCTAAATCCTCTGGACTGTGAAGACTTAATTTATTTCCATAATTTATTTGGAGACCGAGGCGGCTTTGGCTACTTCTCCATGGCTGGTGGGCAGTGCTGGGGGTGGTGTGGGCACAGACCCTTGTGAGTCCTTTTTGCCTGGTAGTCCTATCCCCTGCCCTGCCTGAGCTTTGGTGGAGACCAGGTCTGGATTTGAGCCCTGTGATCTACTGTGTCAACTGCCTGGCTCCTGGATGGCTAAGCAGGTGGGGGCTAGTCAAGGACACTGTCTGGGCAAGGGGAGGGGCTGGGCTGGCCAGCTGTGACCAACACTCCCTTCTGTCCCACCAGCCCCCTCTACTTCCTGCCTCTGCCCATCTTCTCCTCCCCAAGGGCCACAGCCTTTATTCCAGGCCCATTTATGTAGGAGGGGAAGGGGGGAAGTCAAAGGCCCAGAGAGGGCAAGGGGTTTACCTCGGGGCACAAAGCATGCCCCAGACTACTTATCTCAGGGCTTTCTGGGCACTGCACTCCAGTCTGGCACACCTGCCCATGCCCTGAGGCCAGTTGGTGAGGGGTGGCTCCTTAGGGCTTTTGTTTGCTGATACTGAATTTTGCAGCATAATTTCTATATTGTCCCTGAGTGTCAGAACTATAATTTATTCATTTTTCTCTGTGTCTGTGCCAAGAAACCCAGGCTCTAGACATGCCCCCTTGCCTAGGAGGCCTTACCAGCCTGCGTGCTTGTGGGAACACCTTGTACCTGTGCTTACAGGTACCAATAAAGAGGCTCTATTTTTAATAGTGTGGTCTGCGTTTGTGGGATGGGGAGCAAGGGTATACTCTCAGGGGGCAGTGGGGAGGGAGGGGGAGACAGGCCCTGGAGGGCAGTGTGGACACTGAAGCTATGTTGGGGGTGGGAGTAGGGCTACACAGCACATTTGGCCTCCTTCCAGGTGAGCCAGTCAGCTTGGAGGCAGGAACCAGCTGAGAGGCAGATGGAGCAGTTTTTCCTTTGGATTAACTCATTCTTCTCTGGTGGTTGCCTGGGGTGGTAGTGGGGAACAGCAGCAAGGTCTTCTGACATGAGGGTACCACACTGAGCTGGGGCCTGGCCCTGAGGGTGAAGTCACCTACCTGGGTGGGGACAGGTCGAGGGGATGTGGCTGGTGGAGGCCATGGGCTCAGCAACTGTCGTCCCTGGGGACACCGGAAGCTGCAGAACCTCATCTCTCTGCACCAGCCAGACCTGTCTGACCTGTCTGAGCTGCAGGCCAGAGGAGTAGGCCGTACCCTGCTCTGGGGAGCCCCAGTCTGGGTGCCTGAGGAAGGTCGACCTCTCCCTTAGGAATGATAATGATTTCTCTATCAGAAACCACTGATGGACATGAGATTTGGGTCTCCTTTTCTTGCTCTAATTCTCTGCCTCTGTTGGTATGTGCTGGGCTCAGTCATCTCTTTGGCTTACTGGTGAGAGCACAGACTCAACACTGGGCTCGAATGGTAGCTCTTCCACTACCTAGTGAAGTGACATGCAAATTACTTACCCCTCTGTGCCTGGGTGTCCTCAATAGTGTGCAAATAATAACACTGTTCCTCTCATAGGCTTGTTAAGCTCATACATACAAAGCATTTAGAAGCGTGCCTAGAACATGCAAGCCCTGTATTTGCAACTTCCACTCCATTTTCATGTTTCTGCCCTCTTCTTCTATGTTTAATCCTTTCATTTTTGCCTGTCCTTTAATTATCTGTCTCTTGACTCTGGACATGCATGGACATGGCCACATGGCCATATCAGTGGCCATTAGAGGACTGGTGGCTTAGAGTCTGGCCTGTGGTGGGGCAGTATGTCCCTATAACCAGCTTAGGTAGGGATAGCTGGGCCTTAGGCTTCTCAGGGTGGAGTACCCTGGTATGCTCAGTTGTCCCATCTCTTCCCTCTTCACTGGTGCCTGGTGACGCTTTTGTAGAGACTGCCTCAGCATACATGATCCAAAACCTGGGTCTCTCCAAGGGCTCTGAGGGTCTGCTCCGACTGGTCTGCGTGGCAGCCCTCAGCAGCTCCAGTGCCATGGCAGGAAGCCTCCACAGGCTTCTACCCCACGGATTCAGCCCATGGCTGGACTGAGTCCTGCCTGTGCCCATCGAGGGCCACAGGATCAATTCTTGACTTTTTTTTTTTTGAGATAAATGAAGACAACTTAGGTTTTACAGCAAGAAAAACATGATTAACGTACAATCCCTTTACAGCATCGTTCTCCATACAGACAGACCTGTCTCTCAATAAACCTGTCCCAACAGCACTGGGTTGTAAAGCACATCACAGGAAAGGGGACTGGGTTTTCCCACAGGAAAGATGGAGTAACTTGGGGAAAGCATTCCAGATCACCAACTCATACCAAGAGGCCATGCACACGACCAGTAGTATGTTATAAAAACAAGGCTCAGCAGCCATCAAGGACGACGCACGCTGCTCTAAAGGGATCCTTATCTGTTCACTGTTCCTAAACCTTAGTCACTGGACTTCTCTTGAAAACTGCCCATATCTGCATTCTACCCATTCTAAGTATTTTTCTTTGTTCCTTTCTTTTTTTTTTAAGAGACAGGGTCTTGCTCTGTTGCCCAAGCTAGAATGGAGTGGCACAATCATAGCTCACTGCAGCCTCAAACTCCTGGGCTCAAGCAGTCCTCTCTCAGCCTCCCAAAGTGCTGGGATTACAGGTGTGAACTACTGCACCTGGACCTAAGTATTTTCCTTTAAATCAATTGTATCAATATGTTTAAAAGTTAGACCCATCCTACCCATCCTATGGAAAAGCACCCATGAATTCCTGAGTTTGTTGTGCTAGTTTTTCTCTATTACACAAAAATGATGTATAGACACATAGTTATTAAACTTTAAATAAAATGTTTGCTGTGTATCACTGGCAGAGAGTTGTATCATGATTTGGGAAACAAATCTAATTTCCTGCCACAGATGGGGACACTGAGACCTAGAGAAGGGAAGGGATTTGAGAAGGTCACATGGGGAGATCCGAAGGCCTCTTGACTCCCAGTTCAGAGTTCCTTCCCCTGAGGCCAGACTGGCCCATTATTGCTATCCTGAAAAACAGGAAAAGCATTATTGGGAGCACAGCAAAGGTGACCTCTGTCACCCTCTTGCTAGTTGCAATTAACATTATTCATCTAAATAGGGACCACTGCATTTGCCACCTTAGGCATTAAAAGGGTTTCTGGAGGATGAATTAGTTGGCCAATGTCCTTTACGAAAGCTAAGTGGAGACTATTTTTTCTTGGTATGTATTTTCCTGTGCCAGGCAAGGGTAAACAGGTTTGTCCCAAACTGTTAAAGACCAGAAGAAGCCAGCAGAAGACTTGGGGAGCAGGTAAGGGGAGACAGATGTACGGACAGTGTAGGACAGTGGCCCTTGCGACCTGCAGGCCCTCTTACACAGGCCTCTGCTGTGAGGGCCTTCTGCAGCTGGTCCTCCTGCCTGGGCCCTCTGCCAGGCAGACTCGGTGGGTAGCATGGCAGGGGGGAACAGTTGCTTCTTTAGCTCCAGGATGCTGGGAACCAGGCAAGAGAGGGGAGGTAACAATTTAAAAATAGCTGTAGGGTATTTTTCTAACCACCATTCTACTGGGAGCTCCATCTTTGTCCCCGCTGCCCCCTCCCAGAGTCTGGGATAAAAGTGAGGTCTATTAGAAAGTATCCAATGAGCCCAGCAGATGTTAAGCCAGTTGGTATCTTTCTTTCCAGAGCAAAATTACTTCCTGTACCTTAAAAACATAGAGCTTTGGGATGTCCCTTAGGCCAGAGGAGGCATGAATCAAAATAAACCACAAACAGTATAGAAACAGGGAAGAATATGTCATTTTCTGAGTCCCTTCTCTGTTGACCCTCTTGTCGTCCCTCCATACAACTTCAGTAGATTGATGGCTTCTGCTGGCCTGGGTCCTTCTAACCACAGCTAGGGCCTCAGGGACCCCTGGGCCTTTTCCAAAATTTCCTCTCTTATCTTGGGATAGTTGGGGTGTTCTGAGAGGACCTAGAATAGAGACAGAATGGATGTGCAGCGTCAGACAGGAGTCCCTGCCACTATACCAGGCCCTTTCCTTGCCAGTGTTGGTGGCTTACGCTGTGGCAGACTTCGATGGCCTCCACAAATTTCTTGTCCTTCAAGTAGTTGAAAGCCAGTTTGAAACCTGTACAGGGACATGGAGAACACAAATGGTAGCACCCTGATGATCTGAGAACCCCTCTGCTTCCCACAACAGCCAGGGTACAGGCCTGGAGTTCTAGGGTCAGGCTAGGGGTCCTCCTGCCCACCTCCTACCCACACCCCACCCATGTGCACCTTGGCTGGCTGCCTTACCAATGGCAGGGTTGGCCTGATGACTATACTTCCAGGCCAGCTCGTAGTTGGTGGCTGCATCCTTGTAGGACTGTTCCTTCTCCATGATGAAGCCCATGTACTCATAGGCCTTGTAGCAGGACTGCAGGGAAAGGCGGTCAGAGTCTCTGTGGAGTGCTAGCCACAGCCGGTCCAGGGGCCGAGGTGGTACCGGGACCAGGAGAGGGGAAGGGACGGTGGTGACCTGCATTAAACCAAACCACAAAGGAACCCCAAGGGCACCCCCAGCCTTGCGAGGGACGAACTGTGTGCCTCCAGCCCGGCTACCCCAATGGGGGCAAAACCCCTTTCTGCGCAGCCCTTCTGTCCCTGGTTCGTGGCACGCTCTCACCTGCAAATGCCCTTCCTGGCCAGACCCCACGAGCCTGTCCCATCTCTCTCCGCCATTGTATTCCCTCCTGTGGGCATGGCCCGACCCCTGCGCGCCTGAGCTCGCAGTTCCTGTCCTCGTCTACCGCCCACGTGCCCTTCTAGTCCCACTTCTTCTGGTCTGGTCCCTATTTCCTGTCTCCTCTGTCCCCGAAGCCTGCGCACCCTTCCTGGAGCGCTGGAACCACCCTCCCATAGCCCCAACCCCTGCCCGGTCGCCCGGACGTCACTGCGCCCCCTCGCCTTGTTGTACTGCACGCAGCGCCGCAGCAGCTCTGAGGCGAGGTCGAACTTGCCGCCCTGGCAGTAGATGTCGGCCAGCAGGAGCCAGCCCTTCTCCAGGTCCTCAGCCTCAGCCAGCACCCACGGGGCCTTGGCCAGGCGCTTCAACTGCGTGCGTGCCTTGGGGATCTGCTTCAGGAGCATGTAGGCCTGCGCCAAGGCCAGCAGGGCGGGGACGCTGTCCTTCTGCACAGCAGGTGGGAAGCAGGTGTTGGCGCGCCTTGGCAGTGGGTGGGCCTGTGCCTTGCCTCCCGCCTGTCCCTGCCCCGGCTCACCTCGGCCTGCGCCATCTCGATGAAGTTGCCCAGCGCCGCCTCCACGTTAGCATTCTCCCTGGTGGCCAGCAGGCACAGGCCCTGCAGCAGCCGCAGCTGCGTCTGGCCGAAGGCTGAGTGCGGATAGAACTCACGCAGCAGCTTCTCGGCAGTGCGCACGCCGTGCTGCTCCGTCTCCTTCCTGTTGGTGGAGCCGCGGGCATCGGACGTTGGCAGGCCCTGGCCTCATGGCCCTCACTTGGTCTCCACCCAGAGGCTGTAGGCTCTCCCTGACTTACCCAGGGTTCCACCCCTGCCCCCACTGGTCCTTACTTGCTCTCAGCCACCAAGGTCTCAAAAACCTCTCCGCCCACAATCTCGTTGTCTGGGTTCAGACAGATCTGCACCATGTAGTAGGTGGTGCTCTGGCCCCAAGTGCTGTCCTTACGCGCTTTGTTTAAGAACTTCAAGGCTTCATTGGGCTGTCCTATGTGCCTGTAGTGGAGAAAACACCAAGAATTAGTTAGGGAAACTGAGGCTCAGAGAGCACAGGGATACACAGCAGCCACTCTGTGAATCTGCGCAAAGCAGGGGCTGGATCTCTGGTCTCCTGACCTTCTGCCTCCTGGTGCTGAGCCTCCTGCACATAGCTGCCCTGCAACACACCCAACTCACCAACAGTAGATGCCTCTGCAGTAGTTGAACCCCGGCTCCAAAGGCACCCGGCTGGACACCTTCTTGGCCAATTCAAAGAAGGCAGGAGTGTCTTCAAGTTTGCCACTTCTTCGTAGCAGATCGATTAATTTCCTCAATACCAAAAAATTATCTGAAATAAGAGAGTAGAAATCTCCAGGCTGTGATAGCCAACAGCTGTGTCAGGCAGGGGTGCAGTGGCCTGGCAGAGAGAGAAGCAAGGGGTGCTAGGCCCTTAGGAGGAGCCAGGAGACTCTGCCCATCTGGGCTAAGCAGAGACATTCCAACAGCTCCAGTGTCTCCTCTGGTCTCCAGTGCTGAGTGAAGAATAATGCTTAAAAAGAGCAATAATAGCAACTAACACTTACATAGTACTCATATTGTACCTGGCACTAAGTGCTTTACCTATATATTAACTACTAGCATCCCTGTTTTACAGGTGGGACAGTGAGATACAGAGAAGTTAAGTAATTTGCCTAAGGTTACACAGCTAGTAAGCGGTAGACCAGGACCAGGCAACCTGGCCCCAGGATGTACACTCCTAACCACTGCAACCTGCTGAGCCCATGGGCAGACTCTGAAGGGGAAGTTTTATGCTGTAGTGAATAGGAATGGAGCTACACATCAGGGGAGAATTTCTAGTCCTCTCCAGGTGGCTGTGACCTCAGAAGGGGACTGTGTTGGGCTGTGATTTGGGGACAGACAGGCTGTCCTGGGTCCAGTGCCAAGTGCCTGAGACCAGGAACTGGCCCCTTGGACTCGGGAAGGGCCGGCACGTTCCATTGGGTCTTTATCAGTTTCCTGCCTCTCTGGGAACAATCAGAGAGGAAGGGGCTTCCTCTGCCCACTCAGGAAGGAGGGGAGAGGGCCCACCCTTCTCCGGGAGAGCAGCCCTTGCTCAGTGGGAACTAATGTATGCAGTCTCAGTGGGCAGAATTACCTGGCGCTTTCTCCAGGACTTGGCGGTAGAGATTGATGGCTGCTTCATAATTCTGTTTTCTGAACAGCAGGTCAGCCATCATCTGTCAGAAAACACATAAGGCTCTGGAATTCCTGACAGCAGTTTGCATGGGTGTGGGGGGAGACAGGGTGTGTGTGGGGAGGTAGTGGGTGGTGGTATAAGGGAAGAAGGGAGAAAAGAACTTCCAAAACGCCTCCCTGGGCTCTGGGAGAAGATACCAGAAAGTGGAGACTGCCTGAGCAGGAGTTCAAAGGCAGCTGGGTTGAGGATGGAAGGGTAAGGCCACGGGTAGAGGCCAGTGGGGCCTTTTGATGGCCTACAGAGCCAGACCTTCCACCCAGGTCTGAGCACTGCCAATTCCAGACAACAGAGGGAGAGATGAGGACTCCCTCCTCTGCTCTGTAGCGCTTAGCCTCTGCTCCTGGGGTAGCCCTGGAGGAGGTTTGGTGATAGGGAGGAGAGAGGGAGGATGGGGAGGAGGGCTTTTCCACATACTTCCTGAAGCCCCAGGAACCTGTCCCACCCTTGCCTTCACCACAGTGGACGTAGTTTCCCCTGGAATGAATCAGCCTCACCCCTCCCCTTAGACTGGCCCAGGAGGATGATGCTGGTGCCTGCCAGCCAGCCCACCCCTCCTGGCTGAAGAGTGAGCAGGTGCAGCAAGGAGTCTTGTTTGCCTGACAGCCCCTCAGAGGTGTGTCAATGAGGCATCTGAGGGTATGGGGCTAGGAGGCAGCCTGCATCTGGTCACAGGGCCCCTGGGGAGGGGGCGAAGAGGGTCCTGTGGCCTCCTACCACAGAGGCGGTCTCGTGGTTCTTCTCAGTCTGCAGGAGGATGGCACAGTGCTGCTCGCACAGGTCCAGGTGCCCCTGGAGCAGGTAGAGCTGCGCCAGCTCCAACACCACCTGGGACAAGGCCAGACACGATAAACTAAGTAATGAACACTGTGGGAAAACGCGGGGATTGTCCTTGACAGTTCTTTCCCTCATACCCACTTCCATTAGCTCTGCCTTCAAAATATGTCTCAAATTCCCTGCGATAATGTGTCTGGCCCTCACCTCTTCCCACCAGTTCTCCAGTCATACCACATGTCTTACCAACTAACCTCTGAAAGTTGAGCCTGGCTACCTAGTCTTATCCTTCAGCTTCAGCTCTGGCCTCTCTCCGCTGGGAGCCCTCTGTGCCCCAGACTCTGGGGCAGGTACCCTTCCTCTGAGTTCCCATGGTGCCCTGTACCACACACAGGCCTGTATTATACAGCATCAGGACTGCCCATGCTCTCATCTGTACCCTCTGGGCAGGGGCCACATCTTGCCTCACTGTCTCCAGGGCCTGGCACAGTACCTGGCACATATTAGGTATCTGTTAAATGAGTGAATATGAAATGAATGAATGGATCTGTCACTAAGCTTTCCATCTGCTCTCTTAGTGTGAATATCACTGTTCCCTTATCTGGAGCCACACCTCCCTCACAGCTCTAACCTCCTTGGAAACTCAGCTTTGGTTTCATGCCCAAAGATCCCTGGTAGCCACAACGCTCATCATCTCCCCACCTCCAAGGGAGACCTGAAAATGTCAGACTAACATGACTCTCAGCAATGTCTTCTCCACTCCACCCCCCACAAATGGTGTCCAAAGTGAGCCTTCCCAGCCTTGCTCCAAGGGCTGTAGCAGGTGAGGGCCCAGGGTCAGCAGGAGCAGGTGTCTCACCTCAGGGGCCACTGCTGGCTGGCCTCCCATGCCTATCATATCTGCAGCTCCTTAGGGAGGGATGGAGAAGGAACTTGACCCTGCACCTGGTCAGGGAGCTTAGCAAGGCATTGTGCCCCAAGAGAGGGAGCAGAGTCTTGCTTTGAGGGCTGCCCACCTTATTGTCAATGGGCGAGTAGGAGAGGGCATCCTTATAAGCCTTTACTGCTTTGGCATACTCCTTCTCTGCCAGGTAGTGCTCTCCAAACCGGGTGCAGATACAGGCGGCCAGCTGCTTCTGGGACGGGATCATTTCTGGTTGCTCTAGTGGAACCCGCTTCAGTATCCGAGACTGGAGGTCCAAGGCCTTGGGAAACCAATAAAACCAGGATCAGAACCCCAGAGCCTTACATGTAAGTTCACAGAAAGTCCCAAACTCTTATTTCGAAGCCAGCTGTATTAGAAAGGGCATCTTAAGTGCCCTTGAGCAAATCTGAGTCACTCTGGACAGGCAAAGCCACTGGCTGAGTATACAGGAGGCAAGCTGGCACTACCTCTGGGGGCAGGAGCAGAAGCAAAGGCATACAAACAAAACATTGTACTTACCTGTTTACCTGCTTCCATCACACCTTGAGGCACTATGTCTAATTTGTTTTCGCTGCTCTAACAAGCACACAGTAGGTGCCCAATGCAGGCAGTGTTTTGTTCTGAATATATTGCCTTGTTGGGAATTTGAGGAAGTGCCCACAAATATTCCCAACACAAAATGATCAGGTGAGCAACCAGAGAGCATGGGGGCAAGAGGAAATGATGATGCCAGGGTGAAGTTGTAGGAAGTGGGCACGAATCAGCACTTGGTTCCCAAGGGACAAACAGAGGAATGGAAATCCACTGGTAAACAAGGGAATAAAGCATCTCAAGCAGTCTTCCTCTATAACCACAGAGTGTAACCCCAGGAACAAGTGAGAGGCCACAGCCCTGGTAGAAAAAGTGAGAAAGACGTGACAGGAATGGGCAGGGGCTCTCAGATCAGCCCAGTGTGGAAGGAGCAGGGGTTGGGACAGGCCAGACCTGGTTCAGATCTCAGCTCCATTGCTTGCTAGTACAGCCATGCACCACCGCGACTTTTCGGTCAACTGTGGACCACATGTACAATGGTGTTCCCATGAGATTATAATACCATATTTTTACTATATCTTTTCCATGTTCAGATATGTTTAGATACACAAATACTTGCCATTGTGTTAGAACTGCCTACGGTATTCAGTACAGTAACATGCTGTATGGGTTTGTAGCCTAGGAGTAATATGGTGTAGTAGACTATACCATATAGCTTAGGTGTGTAGTAGGCCATACCACCTAGGTTTGTATAAGGACACTATGATGTTCACACAAGGATGAAATCATATCTCTGTCATTAAGCAATGCATGACTGTTGCATGTGGTTTGGATGTGTTTCCCAAATTTCATGTGTTGGAAACTCAGTCTCCAATGAGGCAGTATTGAAAGGTGGGGCCTTTAAGAGGTGATTGGATCATGAGAGCAGAGCCCTCATTAATCCATCATTGCTTAATCTACTCATGGATTAATGGATTAATGGGTTATCATGGGAGTGGAACTGGTAGCTTTATAGGAAGAAGAAAAAGAGAGAATTAGGTAACATGTTAGCATGCTCAGCCCCCTCACCATGTGATGCTCTGTACCACCTTGGGTGCCACCTTGGGACTCTTCAGAAAGTGCCCACCAACAAGAAGGCACTCACCAGATAGGCCCCCTAAACCGTGGACTTCCTAGCCTCCATAACCATAAGAAGTAAGTTCCTTTTCTTTATAAATTACTCAGTTTCAGGTATTCTGTCACAAGCCAAGAGAAAACAGACTAATACAACTGTACTTGATTGTGGGCACATTTCTTTTTTTTTTTCTTTCTAATTTTTAAAAATTTGGTCAAGTGAAGCAGTGGGAGTGGAGAAGGAACAAAGGAATCTGTAACTGGTTGTGATCAATTAGTTATAAACACCACTGTACTCGGACCAGCCTGGGCACATTTCTTAACCTCATAAAGCCTTAACTTAGGTGGGAATGTCACAGTGCATATCTCAAAGGGCTACTGTGAGAATTAAATAAGAAAGCAAAAATTACAGAACCTAGCACACAGCATTCAATGCATGGGAGCTATTGTCATTGTCATCATCTTTAGGACAAAGGTATTGTCTTACTTCCTGCCTTCCCCAGCCCAGTGCAGCCCAGCTCAGAGCATTTCAGTGCACCATCACTGAATGAACAAGGACAGAGAGAGGTCAGAGGTGTAACCTAGGTCCTCTTTTAAGGAAGAAGTCTGGGGCTCTCCAGGCCAGAGCCCTACCCTTCCTCCTCCTTTAGCCCCCATCAGCAGAGGGAAGATGAAGAGTTTGAGTCTACTCATCAATTACCTTGTTCAAAGTCTCTATCACGTCTTCTTTTTTTTGGCTCTCGTAAACTTTTGCCAGCAAAAGCAAGCACTTAACATCATTCATCATGGATGGGATGTCTTTGGCTGCACATGGAAACTCAAATTAGTGTTCTCTGGCCCCTGGGAAGCTGGGTTGGTGGGGACGGCTGGGTTCAGAAGGTCTGGGTTCACGACTCCGGCTAAGAGGGGCAGTGGTAGGTGGGTAGTATGCCTGCTCCAAACGCTAGAAGCGAGTTAAAATGCTGCCTTACCAAATTCACATTCCAGTGCCTGCTTCAAAACTCTTTCTGCTTTGTTGAACTTCTTTAATTTGAGGAGCAGTTCAGCCAGGTTGCAGCACAGAAAGTCCTGTCCGCTAATCTTCTGGGCAGCCTCATAATAATTAATTGCCTTAGTGCAAACAAGAAACATTGGCCTCTGGTCTGGTTCTGCACTTAAGTGTCTGACACTACATTCCACGCAGTGGCCCCCACATCAGTGGCCACCTCCAGAACGTAGACGCCTGGTGAAAAGGCGAAAAGGCCCTCCCAGGGCTCAAGCCTCAGCTTAAGCAGGGATGGGTGGTGGTGGGGAGCTGCTGAGTTCTCCCTTTGGTACCCTACTGAGTAGGGAGCTGGGGTGGAAACTCAACTACTCTCCTCTCACCCAGACCCCCGACTCATGCACTCTCCTCCACTGTCCCTGCTGGGCTGGCCCTCCCCACCCCTGCCCACCACAGCCCAGCCTGACCTTGCTGTACTGGTGGGTCTTCACATAAGCTTGCCCGATCCTGCTGACCAGAAAGGCGTCATGCGGGTTCTTCCTATAGGCCTCATCATAGACCTCCAGGGCCTTCTCGGGCTGGAGGGGAAAGTGTCCAGGGGGTCTTTCTCTTCTCTCCCACTGGACAAGTGAGAATGGGGGGCCATTTGGCAAAGCTGTGAGGCCCCTCACTCACCTCCTGAATGTTCATGAAAGCATCGCCCAGTAGGAGGCTAGTGTGGGGGCCAGGCAGATGTTCACAAAGCTCACTGCAAGAGTAACCAAAAGCTTATTTCAGGCCTGTGCACCCCCCATATTCCTGAAGCCATCTCCTCTCTTCTTTCCCACTGATCCTGACTTTCATTCATTCATTCATCAACCAACACTTATAGAAAGCACACTGTGCATGAGGCCCTGTGCTAGCTACCTTAGATAGGCTCTCCTCATCTGTCATCTGGCCATGGCCAGGGCCTCTGCCTGTTCCTCTTGGTCTACCCCCAGCCTTCCAGATCCCTTCCCTATGGCAGCCACACTGCTCTTTCTGAAACTCCAAGCTTACTGTGCCTCCCTACCGTGCCATCCCTCTGCTGGATGGCCTCCCCTACTCCCCCAGCACCCCTGACCCCCACCTGAAATTGGCTAGATGGAGTTCTGCCTGAAGAAAGGAGTAGGAAGACACCCTCAAGGTCCCGATGCCAAATCATACAGAGACAGCAGCTTGGGGCTTCAGATCCCTGCTCTCCATCCTCAGCCACCCCACCTTGGCCACATCCAAGTCACTGGACATTACCCAAGGACAGGCAGAGCTAGGTACCAGGGCAGAAATGTGTTTCCATGGTTCCTTTGGCATTTGCTCTTGAAGCCAGGCCCACAATCTCCCACCAGAATGTGAGCCACGCAAGGGGTGCAGGGGAGTGGGGGAGGCAAGCAGCGCTCAGGGCCCATTCCGTTCTGTGTCCTCAGAACTCATCCCTCAGCAGGGCTTACTGACCTGTCATGCTCAAATTCTAACCCATGGGAAATTCCATACCTTTATCAAACACGCCCCGAGGATACAGTCTGGAGATCTAGGTTGAAGAACTACAATCTGAAGGAAACACTCCCTAAGATACCATCGGAGAGGCAGCTGCCCTTGTGCTGCCTGTGGGACTTACCGGTAGCACCCGATGTAGAGGCAGATGTCTTTGTGGGTCTGCAGGTAGATGCTGGCCATCTTCTCCTTGGCTTCCACGTAGCAGGGCTGCTTGGGTGTGATGTTCCTCAGCACACTGAGAGCCATGTCTACATTGCCCTTGCTCAGGGCCAAGTCCACGTTGGCGATGGTGATGCGGACCTCCTCTGGTGTGCCGCTGAACTCGTTGATGGCATCCTGCATGACCTTAGTGGCCTCATGCTAAAACATGGGACCCAAACAGACCCTCCATTTGGTGCACAAGTATACATTAGGCAATCAAAGAGCCTGGCTCCCGGGCCTACCCTGGGCCTCCAACATGCCCCAGTCCCCAGGGAAGAGAGCACAGCATTTCTTACCAGCTCCCCATTTAGCCGGAGGGCATCAACCAGTTCTAGTAAGATGGATACCCGCTCGCTGGGCTGCACAGAGGGCCTGTGGAACTTCTTGCCTTCTTCCATCTTCAGAGTTGGCAATTTCATGATCATTTTCAGTGTCTTTATTGCCTCTGGGTAGTCTCCAGCCTTGTTAAGGGCCCTGGCCTTGATGAAGTGGTAGAGGGGCTGGTCTCGAACCTGGGAGGAGCACAGCACACTATGTGGGGCTCCCGTTCACCGCTGCTGCTGCTGCTCACAGCAGCCAGGTCCAAGAATGCCCCGGGAGCTCACTGAGCCTGCCCCTGCCTTTGGGACAGCAGAAGAGTCTGAGGGACACAGGTAGCCCCTGGGGCTACTCTCTCAAGGCAAACGGGGGCTTCAGCTAGCTGGACTTTGGGATACTGAGTGTGTGACAGGGCACAGAGGTTTCCCACCTGGAAATTGTGGCTGACACCCAGTTCTAAGCTGTGGGAGCACATGGAAAAGTTGTCCTGGGCCAGGTAGATCTGGGCCATGAGGAGGTGGGCGTCCGCGGAGGTGGGGTCCAGCTCCAGGCAACGCTGCAGGGTGCTCTGGGCATTCTCTGGCTCTCCTAGAAATAATACACACACCTCTACATGCAGGGATCCTCGGGGACTCCTAGGCTCAATGTGTAAAGGCAGAATGAATTTTACAAGTCCTGATACCCATTTTACATGTCCTGATACCCAACTGGGTATTTTACCCAGTTCTATCCTGCTTCACTCAGAGGTCCCTTTCTGAAGTTAAAACTGCGCATTTTTGCCTTGACCCAGACAAAAGTCATGAAACTCAAACCTCAGTGTAACCTCCTTGTCTCATAACCTGCGGGGAGACAGCTAAGTCACTTCACTGCTCCATCTGGAGGCTCAGGGGAACATGTAAGTCTCAATTCCCACACCTAAGAGCAGAACAAAACCTAATAATAACAGCAACTATAGCAGCCACAATTTATGAAGCACCTACTCTATGTTTAACACTCGCAAAGCATTTTAGAAAGTCCACTTCAATATCTGCCCAGCCCTGTAAGGCTGGTATTATTACTGTCTTTTAAATGTAGGACCTAGAGCTCCAGTGATGTAAGCCACTCAGCTTGGTAGGTTCCAAGTGGGCATTTAAATGCAGGCCCATTGGGCTTCTGAGTCTCAGCTTGGAAGCCCCTGGCACTAGGGGGCTGAGGGGCCTCCCTGCAGCCAGGCTGGCATTTACAGGGTAGTAGTGGCAAGCTGGGAGTGTGTTTGGTGAGTTGGTAGGGGAGCCCTCCTCCCTCTGCTGCCAGGTCCCTCAACAGCTCCTCTTGGGGTCCATAACCTGGTGAGTGGGAGCACCTGCTTCTGGATTCCAAGCTCCCTGCTCGTTCCCTGTGTATTGTGGAAATGTGGAGAGGTCACTATGGCAACCTAAGCAGCTGGAGACCTTGCTTTGGCCTCAAACCTGTTGGCAGCTGCCAGTACCCTGGAGGGAGCCCTCCCATCCTGGCCTTGTACCAAGGAGACATTGAAGCTGTGGGTTAACCTAGCACCCAGATAAACAAAGAGAGGACCAAGGATGAAGACAGAAGCTCTCAGCAGAGTGTGACCAACACAATGTAGTGGACAGAGGACAGACATGGGGCCACAGTATTCTGGATCCTTTGGATGCCCCAGGACACCAGAGATGGGCCTGGTTTTCAGGCAGACAGGATGGGATGAAAGCTGCAGGGAGAGAGTACTTTGCGGGGGGCTCTGTGCCAGAGAGGACAACAGAGTACCCATGAGGGTTCTTCCTCTCTTTCCTTCTCTCTCCAGGGTCTGGGCCTTGGGATGGGAGGTAGAAGGGCCCCCAGAGGTTCTGAAAGCCTAATGGTACCAGGCCTCACCTCTCCATGAGACTTTTCCTAACACCTTTTAAAACTGCAGCCCGCTAACCTGCACACCCTTCCCTGCTTTAGCTTCTGCCATAGCATTACTGCATTCTAACAAACGATACAGTGTGCTGATTGCTTGTCAATATCCCCTTACTCTTTTTGAGCAACCCAGAAGATGTTCTGTATCCCAGAAGAAGTTCAATGACTGTTACCTGCACAGATCAAGTGAGTAATCTGAAAAAGGCTGAATGGGAGAGACCCCTGCTGGTGAGGGGGTCAGGAAGGTTACTGGCAGGTTGGAGGCTGGAAGGAGTGCACAGGCCTGGTGAGGGGCATGTGTACATGTGTGCATGCGTGTATATGCATGTGTGTGTGTCTATGTGTAAAGTTTCCCAGGCAGGGAGCCTGTGGACACAAATCCATGGGCAGAAGCCCCATCAGGTGACTGAGCAGATGAACAGATGTGAGAAGAGGCAAGGCCCCACCTGGCCTCTAGGACCCACTGGCTCACCTGAGAGATACTTGACCTGAGCCATCACATACAGGGGATCAACCAGAGCTGGTGCTGCTTTGACTACAGGATTCAAGATTACCATAACTTGTTTAAGAAGCGGAGACACGATCTGGCCTGGTGACCGGGGCTGTAGGAATAAGGGGGGATGGTTGTGTGGTTTGCCCTACTCTAAGAGAGACTCCCGGAGCTCTCAGGAAACATTCTCATTGAAGGGATTTTACTTCATTCCACACTTATTTATTATCCACTGTGTACCATCTAGTCCTAGAGCATGAGCTCCAGGAAATGGGGATTTAGTTTTGTTCGCTGTTGTGTCCTCAGTACCTAGAATGGTGTCTGGCACGTAGTAATGCACTCAAATATTTGTTGACTGACTCATTACAAGGCACTGGGGGGATATTAAGACCTGTGAAAATATGATCCTTGTCCACAAGGAATCTTGGCTGGCTGGGAAAGCAGGACAAACAAGTAAAGACTAACATGTTTCTTAGAAGGCTTCTGGGAAAAAAGGAGCCAAGTTCTTGTCTAGGATAAAGGCCACAGGCAGGGGCTGGTGCTCTGCTCCTCCAAGTGTGGTCCCTGGGCTAAACACATCAGCATCACCTGGGAGCTTGTTAGAGATGCAGGGCCCTGGGCTCCACCTGCATAGCCAGAATCTGCACTGGAACAACCTCCCAGGTGATTCATGTGCTGCACATTAAAGTTTGAAAAGCACTGGGCTCCCCAACCACCCAAGACTCAGAGTAACCTGGCGACTGACCGAGTGAGGTCCCTGCCTCTGTCCTTTCAGTGGGCACCATTCAATCCTATACTCCAGACCTTCACCATGAAGATGGGCTTTCCCCTAACCTGCTTGGGACAGAAGAGCAAGTACTCCTTGGCAATGTAGACCAAGAAGTGGGGGTCCAGCTTTTCAAAGTACTCAGAGCCCAGGGGGAGGCCCTGCATGCTAGAGAAGTGAAGCTCCACTGTCTCTTTCAGGAGCGCCGTGGTCGCCTGTTCCCCCTTGTGCTTCTTGGATGCCAGAAGGGCTTGGAGGAAAATCAGCACCTGTGGAAAAGAGGCCTGAGTCTCAGAGTCAATGCCAGCCTGGGCAGAGTTGGTAGGTGAGGGCAAGTGGAGGTCCAGGCCATCTTGGCTGCTTTCTATTGGAATTTGGTAGTGGGAGGAGGGCTGGAGACACAATCTTAGAGCAATCCGTGTCTCCGGAGAGCTCTGACCTCAGACTTCCCAAGGGACTGCTGCACTTCCTTCAGGAATTCCAGCTGGTTCTCAGCCTCTTCCAGTTGGCCTTCTAAGATCTGGCACCAGATCATCCCTGTAAGTAGGACAAAACAAGGATGAGTGGCCAGCTCCGAAGCAGACTCAGCAGTTCACCAAGTTGAGAAGCATGGAAGAGATGGTCGAAGGAAGGTGTTCCAGAGCAGGGAATCTTCACAGACTTAAAGCGCAATACACATTCATGGAAAAGAATTCAAATCATAAGGCAACATAGATAGAAAAACATCCCTAAGCCCATTCTTCTAAGTGAAGTATCACAAGAATGGAAAACAAGTCCCACATGTACTCACTGTTAAATTGGTACTAATTGATCAACACCTATGTACCCAAATGGAAGTAACATTCACAGGGCGTTGGGCAGGGTGGGAGGGGAGAGTAGGGGATGGGTGAATTCACACCTAATAGGTACGGCACGCGTGATGTCTGGGGTTTGGGCATGCTTGCAGCTCTGACTTGGGCAGTGCAAAGGCAATGTATGTAACCAAAGCATTTGTACCCCCATAATATTCTGAAATTTAAATAAATTTTAAAAAATAAATAAATAAAAAAATAGAAAAACATCCTTAGTTCAGTCTCTGACTTTATCAATGTCTCTCTCTAGATTTAAGCACTATTAAGAATTTGGGGTACTTTCCTTCAAACATTTTTCTAAGTATGTATTATATATTATTAATGTATACATGCACACACACAATTCAAACATATATATTTATATGTACGCATATGAACATATCAAGGGGTTTAGAGCACACACACACAGAAAAGGAATCAAATTCCATATATACCATCCTACAACTTACTTTTTTCTCTTTATATATGATAGACATATTTCCCCATCCCTTTATATGAATCTACCCTATTCTCTTTGATGACAACATAATATTCCATTGTGGATATAATCATTTATTTGACTACTGCCCTATTGAAGGACACCTCATTTGACATTTACTTGGTTTTCAATACTTAAATATTACAATGCTATGATGAATATATGTTCGAATTCCTGAAGGGAGAGCTCATGGGCCATAGGGCATGCATTTTTAAAATGTTGATAGGGGCCGGCTGAGGCTCATGCCTGTCATCCTAGCACTTTGGGAGGCTGAGGCGGGAGGATTGCTTGAGGTCTGGAGTTTGAGACAAGCCTGAGTAAGAGCGAGACCTCGTCTCTATAAAAAATAGAAAAATTAGCTGGGCATGGTGGCGCATGCCTGTAGTCCCAGTTACCCGGGAGGCTAAGGCAGGATCGCTTGAACCCAGGAGTTTGAAGTTGCTGTGAGCTAGGCTGACACCACTGCACTCTAGCCTGGGCAACAGAGTGAGACTTTGTCCCCCCTCCTCAAAAAAAAGTGTTGTTAGGTAGGGTCAATGTGCCCTCCAAAGATATTTGAATTTCTTACTGTCAAGAATTAAAAAGTGTCCTTTCCCTACAACCTCACAGTCATTCTTTAATCTTCGTCAGTCTAAAAAGTGAAAAACAACTAGTTTTATTTTACCTTTTTTTATTATTAGGGAGAATGAACATCTTTTCGTATTTTAAATAGCCTTTTCTTTCTGGTTTATTGGGTAGTGATTTTTTCTCTTTATATATGATAGACATATTTCCCCATCCCTTTATATGAATCTACCCTATTCTCTTTGATGACAACATAATATTCCATTGTGGATATAATCATTTATTTGACTACTGCCCTATTGAAGGACACCTCATTTGACATTTACTTGGTTTTCAATACTTAAATATTACAATGCTATGATGAATATATGTTCGAATTCCTGAAGGGAGAGCTCATGGGCCATAGGGCATGCATTTTTAAAATGTTGATAGGGGCCGGCTGAGGCTCATGCCTGTCATCCTAGCACTTTGGGAGGCTGAGGCGGGAGGATTGCTTGAGGTCTGGAGTTTGAGACAAGCCTGAGTAAGAGCGAGACCTCGTCTCTATAAAAAATAGAAAAATTAGCTGGGCATGGTGGCGCATGCCTGTAGTCCCAGTTACCCGGGAGGCTAAGGCAGGATCGCTTGAACCCAGGAGTTTGAAGTTGCTGTGAGCTAGGCTGACACCACTGCACTCTAGCCTGGGCAACAGAGTGAGACTTTGTCCCCCCTCCTCAAAAAAAAGTGTTGTTAGGTAGGGTCAATGTGCCCTCCAAAGATATTTGAATTTCTTACTGTCAAGAATTAAAAAGTGTCCTTTCCCTACAACCTCACAGTCATTCTTTAATCTTCGTCAGTCTAAAAAGTGAAAAGCAACTAGTTTTATTTTACCTTTTTTTATTATTAGGGAGAATGAACATCTTTTCGTATTTTAAATAGCCTTTTCTTTCTGGTTTATTGGGTAGTGATTTTTTCTCTTTATATATTAAGAATATTAATTCTTTGTTGTAAATGTTTTTGATTTATTTTCCATTTATCTTTTAACTATTTTTATAGTATCTTTTCCCATCTAATAATTTTAAATTTTTATGCAGTCAAATAGGTAAAATATTTTCAGCTTCTGAGTTTGCAGTTAGGCTTAGAATCCCCCGAGAAACCCAAGTCCTATTTAACTTTTATGTTTAAATACTCAAGTCACTTGGAATTTATTTTTGAGTATGGTGGAGATGGGGACTTACCTTTATTTTTTTCATGATGGATAACCAGGTGTCTAACGAGTAGTTATTGAACAGCCTATCAGTTTGCAATAAGGCCTATTTGTTTATTCCAGCCAGCACTGGCCTCAAGCTGACTTAATTACTGTGGTTTTATGATGTCTTGATGTTGGGAGGAAAAAAAATCTCTGTCCTTCCTATTCTTTTACAGATATTCTTTGGCTATTTTGGTATATTTATTCCTGATTGTCTTCCTAATCACCAGCTTGGTTTTCAATTCTATCCATCCCACTGTTTCACCTATCTATGGAATTTTTACCTTATAATAATGTTTCAAATTTTCACCAACAATTTCTTGTTCTCTGTACCTTTTTCACAGTAGCATGTTATTTACTCATTGACATAACAGCCTCTCCAAACACTGAAGGTGTTTCGGGGGAAAACTCTTTTCTGTATCTGACCTTAACTCTGCTCCTCAGAGGGCCACTGCTTTGCACGTTCAACTCGGCTGCCCTTTCAGACTGCTAGCAGATTTATAGACAAAGGACTAGACTGATGAGTATTAGCAGCTGGGCAGATTTCCCACATTGTTAAGGTCACTGATTTTCCCAGACAGGCCAGATAATATGGTGACTCCAGGACATACATGAGTAGGACAGGCATTCTGACCAGTGGACTTCCCTCTGGCTGACCGCTGGGGCTCTCCCTTGAAGGAGGAAGTGGGGAAGGACTCAGCCTGGTGGAGGAATGTTTTAGGAGATTTTGCCTCTGTGCCAAGCAGCCCAGTCGTTTTGTCCTTCAAGTTCCTGGTGATGGTGGGAAGTCATCTGGGACTCTGCTCCTCTCCCTCCTGCCCCAGTGCCCAATAACAGCCTCCTGGGTTCCAGTCACTGGTCTGGGCAAGGTTCCAATAATCCTCCTATATCTCGCTCACTGCCCCATGGCATGCATGCTTCTTCACTTAGCCTCTGGTGACCCTGAGCTTGGGTTTTTCAGTTTTTGTTTTTCCTCAAGCTCTTTGGGAAAAGCTGGTCTACTCATTTCTTTCACTGACCCATCTCTGCCTACATTGGCTTATGGGTTTCTAGCTGCTTGGAATTTTAATGTATTTGATACCATTTGCCTTACATCTTCTAGAAAAGTGAAATTCTTCAAAGTTTCTGGTCCACTGAAGGCACTTTTCCCTGTTTCTAGGGCTGCAACGGACTCATTGCCTTTTAAAAATGTCTTTCATCATTTTCATGGGATTTCAGTATGGTGGAGGAGAGGCATAGATTGGAGGAGGTCAGCCTGACATGCTGAACCAGAAGGCAAGATCAACTTCTCTGACAACTGTACTGTACAGATGAGGAGCCTGGAGTTTAGAAAAGAGAAGTGACTTGTCCCCAAACACACAGCTCCTCAGAGCCAGGGCAAGAACCAGCCTACCTTGAGCATGGGACCACACAACTTCCTCAACCCCAACTAAACACTGCTGCTTCGGTATTCACCAGAGACCGTGGAGTTGGGAGCTTTAAAAAAAATGTGTACAATGAAAATGGAGCTCTAGAGAATTCATTTGACATTTATAGAAAGGATAAAAAAAAAGCATCTGGACAAATAGGGAACTAAAACTCTCAAAATTACTCTTTGTGGTGGCTTTCCGCTCAGGGACCTACAGTAGGAGGGTCGACAGCTGGGAGTCTACAGGTTGTGTGTGCGTGGAGGTGGTGAGCAGAACCATTCGCCTGTGGGGACTGAGAAGAGGCAGGGCCTCCAGGGAGTATAAGGTTAAGGCTATGAGTCTTCCAGAGAAATCAAAGTGTAGACATCAGAGGTCTAACAGAGATCAGAGTGGCTTTTTTTTTTTTTTTGAAACATGAAACAGGGTCTTGCTCTGTTGCCCAGGCTAGAGTGCAGTGGCATCATCATAGCTCACTGCAACTTCAAACTCCTGGGCTCTAGTGATCCTCCTGCCTCAGCACCACCATGCCCAGCTAATTCTTCTAGTTTTTGTAGAAATGGGGTCTCGCTGTGTTGCTTAGGCTGGTCTCGAACTCTTAGCCTCAAGTGATCCTCCCACTTCAGCCTCCCAAAGTGCTAGGATAACAGGTGTGAGCTTCTGTGCCTGGCCCAGAGTGGCTTTGATCACACCTCTGAGCATTCCTGTGCCTCTTACATCTATTCTTGTGGATTTCCAGAAAGACACCCCATCGTACACTACACCTCTGAACTCACACACCCTTCAGGGAGAGTGCTTCCCACTGCCTCTCTTCTGGACCCATGAAAGCCACCCAGCTTGGCTAGCAACACCCACCCTCCCACCCCTTCCTGCCCGGCCTGCATAGACCTGTCATAGTAGCCATTCTGTTCTGGTTCAGTTTCATGCCCTCGGAGTACCACAGGGAGGCCTCCTTTACTTGGTTCTGCAGGATGTGGAGATAGCCCAACTCTGTGGCTGCACAGGCATAGGAGGGTGTGGCCACGAAGATGTGCTCAATGAAGTTACACACTTGCTGTAGAATTGCCTGGTGCCTGCCACACTGCAAGAAACAGGCATATGGGAACAGGGGAGAACAGTCAGTCCAACCTGTCTGAGCAAGGCCTTTTCAGGAAGGGGGCACAATTTGGGCTTGGTAGGCTTAGGAGAGCCCAGGAGGCACCCTATTTCTAGGTAGCTGGGTCTGTGGAGCTGTCTAACTCTCAAAGAACTTCCCACTGGCCACATCTGAGGATTCTGTCTCCAGCCACAGGGTCGTCTGAGGGACCTATCCCCTGTCTGGCCACAGTAACTGGTCCAAGCAAGAAGTTTTTCAAAGTGAGAGAAGTTCTTTGTGTCCACTGATGAGAAGTGGCGCTGAGGGCCGCCACCAGCTGTGATCCCTGCTATGTGTGGAGAACAAGGCAGAGAGAATCAGACACACAATGAGGGAGAGACGGTGTCTTGGTGGCATGCAACTCCACAGTTCTGGTCCCTGAGGTCCCAGAGCTGCCCTCATTCTTACGGCAATTCCTTCTGGTAAATCTTGCTTTGGGGCTGAAGAGACACAGATTCTTTAGCAACCTGGTCTATTTTGACCTTCCTTAATGTCAAAGAGGCCTAGGCGGGTCAACCTTCCCAGGTCACTTCCATAAAAAATAAATAAAAAAAGGAACTGGGTAGCCTGGCACCCAAGGCCAGAGCTGGGCATGGCTCTGCTTTCCGGCAGCTGTAATACTACCTGCTCTCCCCGAATACGGCACCACCCACTCCAAAAGCACTTTTGGACCCCAACTCCCTGATCTTCATAGCATCTCTGAGGGGCGTCTAGGACAGGGACACAGAGCCCACATGTCACTGTTATCAGCCAGAGGCAGTTAGGGGCCACGGGGTGTGGGTCACCAGTCTGAAAGCCAAGTTTGAGCTGGAGGGGGAGGGGCAGGGTGCTCAGGGAGCTTCCTGGGGGAGCAGGGTCTCCTCTGAGGAATGCATAGAGAAGCACTGTTTCAGAAACCAGCAAAGAATCCTCTTACCAGTCTGCTAATCACAAGAATTTTTTTAAGATGGAGGCTTGGATTTTGGGGCTCTCTTGTTTCTAGTGCCTTAATCAGATTTCTAACGTGACTGGCAGCCTGCAGGGAGAAAACAGATAATGTTGAAGGCAACATGCAAACCTGGAGTTGGATCATTGTTCTCAACCCTGGCTGCACATTAGCATCGGTGGGGGGATTTTAAAATACCCATGCCTGGGCCCCATCCCCAGAGATTCGGATTTAACTAGACTGGGGTGGCCCAGGCACCAGAATTATCACAAAGCCCTGTGGGTGGAACTTTGGGGAACATTCATTATTCACCCAGAGCTGACACTGCCCCTCTGTTCTTGAGTTTGTGAAGAGGAGCTGCCCTTTCAGACTCACCGAGGCAGTGCCAGGAGCCAGTCCTTGCTGTGTGTGCACTGTGGCCCGCCAGGCCAGCAGCAAACCACCTGTGCTGGCCCAGAAGCCTCTGCTCCACTTTGACATGAGTCACCACATTGATGCGTCTCTGTCATTCTAGTGAGCCCTCCCAACAGCCCTGTAAGTCAGTGTAACTATGAACTTTGCAGTGCAGCAGAGGAGAGGTCAGAAGGGTTAGGCAATTGTCCGAGGTCACCCAGACAGCTAGGTGACTGACTGATGCCAAAGCCTGGGTTCTTTCCCATTGGAGTAGGGAGTTCTTAGCTTCCAGCTACAACGTGCCAAAAGAGCAACCCCAGATGGCGAGGGTCCACTGTGTCCAGTAAGCACGAACAAGATTAGAACTAGGCAGCCAGGCTGGGGCGAAGAACAGATCCAAGGGTTTGAGGTAGGGGTGAAGGAGGGGCATTAAATGCTAACTCTGCTTCTGGGATTAACCCTCAGGCCAGGTCCCAGGAAGTGCTGCCCAGGGCTCTGGGGTCACGGGGAGCTGAGGACAGGCTTGTTTTCTTGTAACTACCCAGAGACAGTGCTGGGCCCTTTTCAAGGATTCCACCCAAATACAGACTATCCCCTTTACCTCACCCTACCCCACAAACCCACAGTCTCAGGACTACGCAGAAGGAACCAGAAGCTTCCTCTTTCCACCATAACCTCTTAGAGAGTCTTGATTTGCCATACTCTCCGCAAAGGCCATGTGTTTTGTTTATTCAGAAGGCAATGTTTTGGCCTTTTTGAAAATGAGAACCTGTCTAGGCACTGAGGTTTCATGAAGAATTCTAGGTGTTTCTGACTGCATTTGAGGGCTATTTTAGGTTTCTTTGGAAAATTACAAGGCTTAGGAGCAAGTCTGGGACCAGGTACTACCTGGCCAATGTACAAGTAATTCCAACCATTTGGTAAAAAAAAAAAAAGGCATTTCCTGAATTCTGAAACACTACCATGACTTCTACTATCAGTTAACATTGGTTGAATTATTGCAGTATGCCAGGCACTGTTCCAAACTTTTCCAATTCTCATCGCATTTAGTCCTTATAACAACCTCACAGCTGTGTGGAATTATGTCCATTTTACAAATGAGGAGCCTGAGGCTTATCCAGGTGGAGACACCTGCCCAGACTCCCACAGGTGGCATGTGGTAGAGCCAGCATCAACTTTACTGCCCGAGCTGCCTGACTCTCAAGCTGTACCATCCAAAGAGCCAAGCCAGAGTAGCCCTCCTTGGCTGGGAATATGGGGGTGGGGTGGAGAAGAGGAAACCAGGGGGCACCTTCCAAGGCCTTCGTGTTGGGTGTGGGGGACATGGTTACAAGGGGTTCCTCCTTGCCTCCATTTCAAGGCTCAACTTCTGAGTCTTGAAAAAACTTACTGTGGCCATGTTTCCTTCTCTTGTAAGCTCATGCACAGCTAGAATTTGGTAGGCATCAATATTGCTTTCATCTTTCTCTAGGATTCTGAAAGAGGAAAAAGAGGCACATGAACTGAGAGTATTGACAGACAAGGCTAGGATAGTGTATTGGCAACTTCTGACAGCCTTTTAATACCCATTCTTTCCTTCTTCTTTCAATAACAGAACTCCAAAATTAGCCAGGCACATGGCTGCCCAGAATTAAGACTGCATTTCCTAGCCTTCCTGTGCAGCTTAGGTGTGGCCATGTGACCATGGTCTGGTCAAAAAGATGTAAGTGAAAGTGATGAGTGTGATGTTCAGTTGTGCTCCAATGGTATGCCTTCCCTTTCCTCTCTTTTCTTCTTCCTGCTGTTTGGAATGTGGACCACATGAGCGACATCCTAGAAATGGTAGGGCAACAAGACAGAAGGGGCCTGGGACCCCACAGGGTTAAGCTACCATCTGAGCCCTGAAGCACCACCCAAACTTTACCTGAGAGAGGAATAACCTTTTATGTTATTTAAGTTACGTGTTTTGGGGTGTCTTTGTCATAGAAACCTATTCATAACCCACTGACTAGACATAACCATGGTACCATGGTCTGGGGGTGGCCAGAAAGGCATTTGGGGGCAGTCTGTGACCGTAAGATAGAAAGGGAACCTTGACTCAATCCTGTGTCGTTGTGAAGATACAGCTTGTGATCATACTATAAGATTTTCAATATTCTGTTTCTTTATAGAAAAAGTCAAGGAATATTTTTTAGCCTAGTCAGGGAATGGCGAGGGCTACTCTGATTAACATACAAAATGCCAACATGATTAGGCACAATCAGCATTCAAAAAGTTCTAACCATTTCTGATGATTCTGAAAGCACTGTGAACCTCATACATTTGAAAATTAAAAACAAAACAACAACACATTTTTATACAACTTATGGACCAAAGAAGAATCAGAATTGATATTAGAAAATTTTTAGAACCA